CCATTTTACAGATGTAGAAACAAAGGCTTAGAGAGCATGAGTGCCCAGGATCCAGGGATATACTGTTAAATGTCTAACAATTGGCTCTCCAAAAATGTACCACAAAATTTTAAGTTTAACCTGCATAATTAACATTTTCTTCATCACTGAGTCTAGACAATCTAAACAATAATGCTGATTTATAAACACTTGCCAATTTCCAATTGTGAGTAAATGCTTACCATGAAAACTTAACAATAGGCTCTCAGGAGCAATACAAGTGGACTCCAGCACATCCTTATGAGGGTTCCACAGCTAGTAAGTTTTAAAGACAGATTTTGAAGCCTGGTCTTCCTGATTCCAAGCCCAGAGGCACACATCCATGCTCCTGTCCTAGACCTAGTCCTCCATACTTACTCTGTTGTTTCTTAACTACCCACTATCAGTCATTTTCTTCCTTTTTATTGTACCATTTCCTTTTGTGTGCACCCCCTAATTCCTTTACAATTATGTTATTTCCATGTATATTTACTTTTTTTTTTTTAACGTTTCCTTTCCTCTGCTCCTCTCTGCATTTCTATGCATTATCCTGTCCTTTGGGAAATTGCATATGATATATGTGGTTAATTTGTTTTTAATATCTGTGTAAGTTTGTGTATCTGTGTGAACTAGATGATGGTATGAGTTGAGGAGCCCTCCCTTAAAAAATATCTCTTCCAGAGGCCTACTCCAAATGCCTAAAATCACTCTACCGTTTTTTGTTGTTCAATCGTTTCTGACTCTTCATGGCCCCATTTGGGGTTTTCTTGGCAAAGACGCTGAAGTGGTTTGCAATTTCCTTCTCCAGCTCATTTTGCAGATGAGGAAATTGAGGCAAACAGAGGTAAGTGACTTGCCCAGGTCACACAGCTAGTAAGTGTCTGAGGTACGATTTGAACTCAGGTCCTCCTTACTCTAGGTCCAGTGCTCTATCTACCGCACCACCTAGCTGCACTTACTCTATCACTAAAAATCATTCCTTTGGGATAAAAAAGCATTGTCTTTAAAAGATCCCTGATAGTGTTAACACATTTATCTATTAGAATTCAAAAATGGATTAAATTATCAAACTAATTTATATCATCCAGTCACAGAAAGGGTCCTGAAGGATTGTGAGGCAGGACAGGTAAATTACGATGGGAAAAGAGACTTGGAAATGTGATGACCATAAAGTAACCTCCCCCCAAAATAGCCTAATACAAACTATGTGATGTAGTGAGGAGGAAGGAGGAGGGAAAAGGAAAAGATACCAGAGTCATTTTCATACTTGTGAGTGAGGGGAAGGAATGTGTGAAATGAAGCAGAGAATGAGATGTCAGCTCCTAGGGAAGGAGGATCCTAGTTCTCAGTTCTGGTCTTCCACGGTGGTTGCCAGTACATCATCACAGGCTTAAACACTTAAATTATGAAGATAATTCTCCAAGTGAAAGAATGTCTAGGATACTAAGAGGACTTCCGTCCCTTTGGGTCCTGTGGCTCCCTGGCATGGGTTAGCTGGCCTGATCATCTCCTAAACATTTAAAAATGGTCACAATATGTGATGTCTCATCATGGCGTGGAGGTGGTGTCAGTCTCCTTAGAGCTTATGCCAGTGGAGGACAAACTCTGACCAGTCCTACTCAACTGGAAAGGCTTCATATCTAGCCCAGTGATTGAATAACTAACTGTATGTAGGTTGGACTTTTGAGGCCCAGTATAGCTAGGGATGCTTGTTGGCAGAAGCTTGTCTACTAGGTGATCAATTTTTTTTTTTTAGCTCCAACAACTTCTAAAGGCCATTTACTCAAGTGGTAAAGGAAGGGCTACTGTGGTCAGCCTGAGGCAAAGGCAAGTACCTACTGCCATAAAATCACGTGTCCTTGAAATATTTAAGTATTTAGATGTGAGAGAGCTGGAGAGGAGGTGAAAAGGAGATCAAGGGCCACTTAGGAAAATATGCAGAATGGGGATAAGTTGGATCTCAATCTAAAGATGATGCAGAAGAGGAACTTTGGCTTTTGGCATAGTTAGTGGGTCCTAAGAGGTTATGGGCTTCCCAATACCATACCCTTTTGGAAAAAGTAACCTAATAGAGCAAGAATAAAGAAGAATCTCACATACAACTCAGGTACAGATAATGCGTTTTGTTGTTGTTTTTGTTCAGTCACTTTGATCATGACCAACTCTTTGTGACCCCATTTGTGTTTTTCTTGGCAAAAATATTGGGGTGGTTTTACCATTTCCTTCTCTAGCTCATTTTACAGATGAGGACATTGAGGCAAACAAGGTTAAGTGACTTGCCCAGGGTCACACAGCTAGTAAGTGTCTGAGGTTAAATTTGAATGGAGGTCTACCTGACTCACGGCTTGGCGCTTTATCCACTATGCCACCTCGCAGTCCATTACAGATAAGTCTTGCTTTATTCCAGAGATGTACTGAGAAATTGTAGAATCTTTGAAACTGAGAATGTTAAATGCAAAAAAACTCACTTTCTAAAGGTATCCTAAAATTAATTTTTTTTAACTAGAAGAATTCTTCAGAAAAACAAATAATTCCTACTTTGAGTTTTATGCTTTGTTAAACTCATGTTCATGTTATCAAGTTTTCTTAAAAGTATACCTCCAGTGGAAGATTATTGCTTTGAATTGTTTTTCTTACTCCCCTGCAACAGTCTGGATGATGTGTTATAGTAAAAATAAAAGGTACCACAGACTTAAGAACTCCAAACAATGCAAGAACCATGGTTCCAGAGTGTCTGTGATGAAACATGCACAAACCACTTCCTGACAGAGAGGTGATAGCCTCAAGACACAGACACACATTTTTTAAAATGGTCAATATATAGTCAAAGGCTTTTTTTCTTTTTGAGAGAAAATAAACGCTTGATTGAAAAAAATTTTTTTAAAAGGCATCAAAAAAGCTTTTCTAAAAAGCACACTTCTACATTATAGGACAAAGTTAAAGTTAATCTAGAGCAGAAAACAACCAGTCATATCTTGAGTGATTAATTTCCTGGGAACAAAGCTCCTTTATACGAAGTTAGCCATGTTAAAAAAAAATCTTCTTAAGTCATGTGAAGAAGTTAACATTGTTAAGCTTCACCAAACTCCAAATCAGCCAATCCTTTCTGTTTCCACCTTCCTTCTCACTTCTAGATGCTGTCTTTAGCTGCATCTGACATTATTTTAGCTAGCATTTAATAATATTATTGTATAATAAGTCTCCCTTTACACATTCTTATGTTCCCTATATTATTATTATTATTATTATTATCTGATCATGACGTTTCTAACAAAGGGGTGTCGCTGGAATGAATACCTTTTGCCAACAGAAGAATCATAGCATAAGTAACGCTATAACTTTTCATTTTTGAAAAGTATTTGAACACAATTTTCCTTGAATTTGAAATTCTCCAACTGCATTTATGAAGCAGATTGATACTTACACAGCAATGGATTAGGTGCTAGGGTTATAAAGTCATCCATACGGATGATGTGGAAAGCACAGTGGTTCTGGAGTCAGCGCATTTCTTGGTTGGTCGCTTACTATCTATGGCAAATCACATATCCCCTCTAGGCCTCGTGTGTAAGATGAGGGCACTGAACTTGAGGACCTCCAAGGTTCCTTTCATCTCTAAGTCACATCCTGACTGGGGGGCTGGAAGTGGAGGGTGGAATATAACACTATGGAGTCACATAAGTAAATAGAAGGCAATTTAAGGAAGGGAGCACTGGAAACTTGGAAGGGGGGGGTGTTCTTGTAGGTGATGCTTGAGCTGAACTAGCTGCCTGACTCGTCTCCCTTAGACTTTCCTACAGTTGAGATAATTTCATTCTTTCTGCTCAGCTGCCATTAGATTCTGAATCTTTACTTTGACTCTACATTTTGTAACAGATCAGGTACATATATATGCATACATACTTATCCACATTTTCCATGTATATGCTTACCCTTATTGTCCTCTTTTATCTACCCTCCCAAAAAACGGGGCTCTTATATTTCAGAGAGGACAGTGAGACAAAAAGGTTCCTAACACAAGCAACAGTTGGAATGTCATGGTTTGGGGACAACGATGAAAAATCCCCAAGAGACAAGATAAATTCTCATGATGCCAGGCTACTAGCAATTGCTTCTAAGGGAGCAGGCCATGCTTAGGCTCTTCCCTGCTCCCCTACCAGCAACCTTCAAAGAAAAGTTGGAAACAAAATTACTCCATCAACTTTTTGGGTAACTTCATCCTGGTTGTTAGTCCCTAGCCTACCATGAGATCCCATTCAAAGCGTCCTCAGCTATTGCTGTCCCCCAGGTCACTGGGATTTCTTTCAATAGGTTTGTCTAACTGAGGGTGAGGGTATATAAATCACTGAAAATAGTGCCATACTGAACAGGGACTACCAAGCTACTTCGTAAGGTAAGAGCAGGCCTGGCCCTGCTTACCCAGCCAGATCACATCATGGGACTGTCATCGGAGGGTCTCCAACCCTGTTAAGCTCGAAGTGCTTGGGAACGTCTGTTCTGAAAATTCACAGTTCCCGTGCTAAGTACCTGCCCGCTGGTTTAAAACACAAACTCAGATGCTTTTAAGTTCTTCTTTCCATGGGGGGGAGGAAAGGGCGAGGGTAGTTAAAAAAAAAATCCCTCATTTTACAACTGCTTTCCGTGAAACAAAATGTTGCCTGGGCATTCAGGATGGAGATGGACAGCAGGTTAGCCTCATTCTCTCTCTCCATGCAATTCCTGAGCAACCCACCCCGTTGGTTATGGAGGACACCAAAGGCAGCTCCGCTCCGAAGTCCCGGCTGGGAAGGCAGGCGGGGAGCTGGCCCGCCGGGGCGAGTGCTGCCCGGGGAAGAAAGAGGTAAAGGGTGAATCCTACCTGATACTGCAGTGCATCCGGACCGCAGCGCCGCGGAAGCTGGGGGTGGGATGGGATGGGATGGCATGGGGTGGCGCGGGGAGGGGGGGAGAGGAAGAGGGAGATTCGTGCTGGCTTCCCCGCTCACCTCTTTTCCTCCCCCTTCTTATTGCAATGCCAGAGAGCGCGCAGCAGGGTTCCAGATTGACAAAGAATAAAAGCACCACCCACCGCACCAGCAGCGGCTGGCCCACGGGCGGGGAAGCAGCGTGGTCCGGAAGCCAGGCAGCCCGCACGGCCGCTTCCTCTGGCTGCGTTCATCTTCCCTAGAAGTGAGCTCCTCGCCCTTTCCCTGGCAGTTCCCCCTGGCCCGGAGCCGCGCGGGAGCCCAGGAGGGACGGCCGCGGATGCGCCGCAGAGCGCAGCCTTCTCCCCCGGCCTAGCCTGCCCCCCCCGCCCACCCCAGGGGCCTGGACTGGCTCGAGAGGCCGGGGGGCTCAGGTTCATGTCTGTTGCATGGGGTGGGCTGCCAGCACGGAATCCAAACCCTACCGGCGCGGGGGCTGCCTTTCTGCAACTATCAAGGGAAAGGCTTGGAGAGAGAAGCCGAGCTCCGCTGGCTCTGCAGCTAGACTCCATACAGGAGAGGTGCAAAGAGGCCTGTTTGTTCCCGCTGGGAGATGGACCGACCTGGGGAGAAAGCAGCAATCCTTCCAGCCCCACTCCCCAGGGCCGGGAGGGCCGGCAGGTTAGCAGGCCTCGGGCACCTAGAGTTAAGCATTTGCATACAAAATGTCAGCATTCCTCACTCACTTTTTCACTTGGAATTTTCTATTGTTAGATATGGAGAGGAAAAAAACCCTTCAGCTTTGAAGTTTCCATAAAAAGAACACATGCGTTCGTTGTGATTCGTATTTAAAGACTGCATTTCATGTAATGGGCACTAACCTCACTCCACACATGTTTGTTGGCCTGGTTTGGCTTGTAGGTCAGATGGTCAGGCAGCATGTTTGACTCTACAACTAACTTTTAGGACAAACAGCGAACCTTTGCTTTTCTCAGCGAGGACGGTATTTGGGGGGCACTGATTTCTGTGAACTAATTGGAACTGGGGCAGCACTGACATTGAATCATGTTAGTCATGTTAGGGGGCGGGGAGGGATGAAATGTCATCTCACAGTCACACGTTTCCACAGCCTCTTGATCTCTCCTTTCAAACTAGCAGCCCCTTCCCCTCCCACCCCTAAATCCCTAAATGGTTGTTCAGTGGTTTCAGTCATGTCCCACTCTTCCTGACCGCATTTGGGGTTTTCTTGGCAAGGATATTGGAATGGTTTGCCATTTCCTTCTCTAGCTCATTTTACAATTGAGGAAACTGAGACAAATAGGGTTAAGTGACTTGCCTAGGGTCACACAGTAAGTGTCTGAGGCCAGATTTGAAACTCAGGCTTGGCACTCTATCCACTGTACCACCTAGGGGATAATAATATTTATGCTACCTAACTTACAGAATTATTGGCAGAAATTATTATACAAATTTCAAAGGACTCTCTATAAACGTGAATAATTATTTGAGGATTTCTAGAACAAACCCGTCCTCATGGTTCCTGTTGCTACATTCACTGCTTGCCTACTTGACACTGTGCCAAGGACCTAGGATAGGTGTCATTTGTGGATTTCGTTGCCAATACTGTTACTTATTATCTGACTACCACCAAGCAACAGGTCAGAATGAGAAGGCAAGGATAAATCACAGTCAGCACTAGTTCAGGAAAGTAAAATTACAGCTTTATCAAAGTATAGTTCAGAGGTAGGGAGTGGGCCTGTGATTTCACTGGCACAGGGAACTCCTGAGTGAAGAAACTCCCTTTATCAATGCAGGTTGGCACCTTCTCTCCAACTTAGAGACTTACTTGTAGACCATTATGAGGTTGAGTGACTTGTCTGGGATCACACAGCTAGTAAGTGTCTGAGACCAGATTTGAACTCAGGTCCTTCTGGCTCCAGGGCTGGTGTTCTATCCACTGGGCCAGCTAGTGCACAGTTTTATTTGGCAGCTCTTTGACACCCTGGTTGGTGTTAAATGAAACATTTTTATTAGACCGTAAGCCCAGCGAGGGCAGGGTCAGTCTTTTTTTTTTCTTCATATCCCTGGCATCTAGTGTAATTCCTTGTGTATAATAAAAGCTGTAATTAAATGTCATTAAATATTTACAAAATATCATCAGGATGAATTGCCCCTTTTACCTCCAGCAGTTTTGTTGCTGACTTTGTTAGAAGCAGCTTGTGAGACAGTAGATAGAGCACTGAGCCTGGAATCAGGAAGACCTGAGTTCAAACGCAGCTTCTTAACTGCTGTATGCCTCAGTTTCCTAAACTGTAAAATGGGGATAATAATAGAACCTGCCACACAGGGTTGTTGTGAGGCTCAAATGAGATAATATTTATAAAAAGCACTCAGCTCAGTGCCTGGCACATAATAGGTGCTATATAAATGCTTATTCCCTTTTCTCTGGTTTTCCACTGTATGAATCAACAACAAAAAGTTAAGTGTTGCTTACATGCTTTCCCAGAGAAGTGATGATGTCAGGGAAGACTTCACCCATCCGTATGGGTCCTTGGGATCCCAGAAATAATCTGGATCAAATAGGGTGACTAGCCTATGAAAATAGTTGACCCCCAGTGTTCCTTTTGCCCTGGCTAGAGAATGATAGGAAAGGAGAGATCTCAGTAGCTGACACAGGGTACTCCAGCAAATATCAGGACTGATGTGTTTAGTGCCTCAAAAACCAAAGCCACCTCCTTTCCCACACCATTCCAGCCAAATAGCTACATGATTGATTTAGTTCTGGGTATTAATCCAAGCCAGGCATATTTGCTCCCTCGTTGAGCTCCAAGGCTTCACTTTTTGGGAATTCATCGACATCTGTCTGATTCTGGGCTTCTTCCAGCTATCCATTGTCTTCTCCAGGGACCCAGGGAGAATGGGGAAGTGAATGAATGAAAAAGCATTTATGTGCCTTGCTATGCACTGATAGGCTGTGGAGGTACAAAAGGGAGACAGTCCTTGCCCTAACAGGGCAATACAACACAATAGGAGAGTGATGACCAGGGAAGAGAGTTTTGATCTAAGGCAACCACAGGGACTGTGAGATTGACTGCCATAGGGCAGTCAATTTTCCTGCCCTTTTCAGTAGCAATGGTAGTATTGATTTGAATACTCTTTCTAAAAACAAGAGGCAGAAAACATTAATAAATGCTTGTTAATTAATTGATTTATCAGAAAAATAGCCTCCTCCCAAGAAAGGAGGGAAGGAAAGAGGAGAGGAAGGAAGGAAGGAAGGAAAGAAGGAAAATGCTTATTGGCTCCTTTCTGTGCTCCCTCCTATCCCAGGGCTCTAGCCCAGCAGGTCCAGAGGAAATCCTTTGGGAGGGTGCTGCCTGTAGTCAAACTGGGCTCCCCCTTCCATTACACAGCTATACTATCACGAAGTTTGAATTTCTGAAGGTTGCCAAGAGCTGTATCCCCTCTTACCACTCAAAGCCATTCTATGGTTTAACTGAAGAACAAGGAGGAAGGGGAAGGAATGGGAAGCAGCTGAGTTGGCATCTTGACCCAAAGCTTTGTTACACTTCCAGTTTGACGAGGAGGGAACTTTGAGACTTGGATCCAGAACTGGAGGAGGTTCTTTCTAAGTTGGTCATTTAGAGTAAGGAAATCCTGATGTGGATTTGTTCTTTGTTTTTGTTTTGTTTTCAAAACTGAAGCCTGTTGTATTTGTATTTAAAATTTGTACACATTTTTATAATAATCTGGACCTTGTGGTATCTGGACTATTAGAGAAAAATCTTTGGATTCAGACCTACTTATGATTTTTATATCATTGCTTTGGTTTGTTTTTTTTTAAACAAATCCTAATGGTTTGGTCCAAATCCAATGAAAGTTATATAAAGAAATAAAATGTTGTGCTTATATATTAAAAAAAAGAAGAAGAAAGGGCAGGGCCCTCATACACCTACTATTTGAACTAGGGAAAGAACCTTTGGCTGTTTTCCTTCTCCTTTGGAACCTATCAGTCCTTAGAGCTTGTCAGTGATGGACTTGACTTCTCCAAAAGAAGAGTCTTCCCACAACCAGGGATTAAGTTTTTTGGGAACTCAGAAAAAAAAAAACCAGCTAGCTAAGTAGTGCCCATAGGCATGAAAGTATACCTATTTTGAAACATTAATTTTCTGCACAACTAGACTATAGTCTCTCAATCTGAATTTCTGTTTAGAAAGTTCCTATAATTCCTCTTTATTTTTCGTTTGCCAAACTGTACCCCTTCTAAAACATTTTAGGGACTTCACTTCTAACAAACTGCCAAGGGCTGAGTCTGATCTCTCTCTCTGTCTCTCTGTCTCTCTCTCCATCTCCATCTCCATCTCCATCTCCATCTCCATCTCCATCTCCATCTCCATCTCCATCTCCATCTCTCATCTCTGTCTCCTCGACCTCAATTCTTGGTTTCAAATTCCTGACTTTATTATGCATATAGAGTTGGCCTCAAGCCTTTCTAGCCACATGTCAAACCCTGCCTTCACTAAGACTGCAACAGTGTAAATAAAAACTACATTTTATTTAGTTGTGTTTATGTGCCTTTCACTCACTTCCTACCTCCTCAACCAAACTCTGGGCAGTCTATGATTAATGGAGATTGGTTGAATAAACTGGCATGTGAGCATAACAGATTATTATTGTGTTCTAAGAAATGATGACTATGAAGAATTCAGAGAAACATGAGGAGATTGCACAAACTGAAGCATAGCAAGGTAAGTAGAACTTACCTGTGTATATATATATATATATATATATATACATATATATATGTATATATATGTATATATATATATACATATATATATGTATATATATGTATATATATATACATATATATATGTATATATATACATATATATATATACATATATATATATACATATATATATATATATATATATATATACAGGTGGGCTATAACAATACAAGTGAAAGTATCACTGATAAAGTTGAACCCTTAGTCCAGGAGAGTAGATAATGAAATACACCCCACTCTTCTCCACTCAGGGATGGGGCACTAAATGGAATGTTATACGCTGACAGATCAGGTCTGTCAGTTTTGCCTAAATCTTTTTTTTCGTTATAAGGGAGAGTTACTGAGCATGGGGGTCAGATGCAGAAATTACTTATGTAAAAACCAAAAGGCATCAATAAAATGTATTTTTTAAAAAGTGACAAAAATAGTGATCCATTTTAATAACATCTTGCCAAAGTTAAATGCCACATTCCTTGTTTCTGTTAATAATGGATAATCTACCAGCTTCTTTTTTTTTTTGAGAGGGAAATGTTTTGTAAAAAGGGTGTGTCTAGAAGTATACCTTGCAACAAAACATAATATAGAAATAACTTTTTTTTTAGGCAATTGGGGTTAAGTGACTTGCCCAGGGTCACACAGCT